ATTCTACCAGATAAACTGTCCCCCTGAGTTGACAATTTTAGAATCATTGCAGTAACTACAGCCTGCCCTTCCACATTTATCTTCATAAGGCCTGAAAAAGTAAGAAGGCGTTTTAAATTTGGTGGAGGGCGGAATATTAGGCGTATTGGAAGTGGTGAGCACTTTACAATATTATTTACTTTTAATGCCGTGCTTTCATTTAGATAAGGTAATACCAAGGGAATTCCGTCCGCCGTGGAATGTGGTTTCCATGTATGGGTGCGAGTGCTTGTATACCCATTCTCTCTAGAATTCTATCCACCATAAGGTGCTACGCACCGAAATATCGCAAGATAAGATATTTTGAAAAACTTTTGAGACTTTTGCTGTCTTTTGAGTTTTTTGGAATAAACTTTTGGAGTTTCACATTGTTTTTACACATTCAGATGAGATTAAAAAGAAATAACAAGGAAAAATTAGAAGCGACAATAATATGAAGGGAATGGTAGCCAAGACCGCAAAAACTCACTTATCGTCATGCCTCCAACAAAACCATCTGTGAGCCTTAAAGGCACGTTCATGGACGTCAGGAGTTCATTGACATACTGAAAAAATACAAGTGGTCTTGACAATATGAGCCAATCAAGGCTGCATTCATGCTCTGGGTCATGGTACGTCAGCGCCAGCGACTAGGGGAACATAGATAGCGACCTAGCGCAGAAAGCGCGTGCCAGCGTTTTCGCGCAAGAAAGCTGCAGGACCGGGCATAGGCTGGTGGACGCTCGAAAGGGTAGATCGATATTCATATTTTCCTAGTAGCTAGAAACGCTGCTGCACGGTCGTATGCTAGATCGTTGCTAAACTTTCTAAGTCGCTGATGCTGGCGTACGCTGACGCAAAGTATGAACGCATTCTAAGATAGAGAACAGGTAAAAAATAGAACGTAATAGACGGAATCTTCGTCACTGTCCAGTCCTTTTTAGGCGCACACATTCTAATTCCGTTCAGAACAGTATCAGCTTGTTGAATAGATATGGCCATACAATTACTTGCAGGGCCAACCGAAGCACAAGTCTGTATTCTCATCCCCAGATTGATCTCGACCCCATTTACCGTCCCCGGAACAGGAGCTGATCCGGGATTTGACCTTCAGATCGCGCGCATGGCAAGCGCGCCGTTTGCTACTACGTCAGGGAGATGGAAGATCTCGCCCAGGGAAAGAAACCTACGAGTGAATTAACCCTTCTCGGCTAAAAATATAGTTCTCACACTTCGTCAGAAGGTGTTTACGGAGCTTGGGCTTCTACAAAATGTCCGGTCACTTCACAAAATGCGTACGGTACATTAACATTAGTTAAAAAGGCCCTCGTATACTACAGTACAGGCTAGAGCATAGTTATGGTGAGAGGTTTTAACCCGTTGCGGCCCGTCGTTCTGCGAGATCTCAGCATCATTTCACCCTTTTTCATCGATACTTACTAGTTTCATATTTTTTTACATTCCGTGAGATATGTGTATTCCGTGCCCAAAAAAATTTAATTCAGAAAAGGAAACACGCGCGAAGTAGTTTATAGGAAGCAGCGCAAAGAGGGGAAAGTATATGACACACCCTGCGTGTCACGTGGCCCGAGACGGAATCATGTATCAGTGTACTTAGGATGCATTCACAATTATCGCAAATTTAAATCATAGTCAAAAGAAAACCTGATCAGCGATTAAAATATTTTGCAACACCTTGCTAAAAATAGAAAAAAAAACACAGCGTACAGTAACGCCATCAATACAACTGTAAAGGTGAAAAAAAAACAATGGGAAAAAGGAAAAAAAAAACAGGATCGGGAAAAGTACTTACATGTGAATTG